CCTGAACTCAGATATTGTGATTGGATGACTCACCGCTTAATCCTCAACACCATTCTCTAATTTGGGGGGAAATAGGCTAAAAGAGGGTAAGGGACTTGGCCAAAGCAGAGGGCCAATAAAGCGAGGGCAAACCTAGGTTGGTCTTTCTCTGTGCTATTCCTACTACATCCACTGCCGAAAATAATGTCTCTCCCCATATCAAAGACATATATCAATCAAAGCCACTCTGAGTCTTGAAGCTTCTAGTTAGCATGAGGTAACACTCTAGATTGCTCTGGTGACAGCCGAAAGCAAAGAAATTTGATAGTCTGTACAGCCATAGTGTGGGTAAATGGATGGTTTCCATTAGGCTCTGGAAATAACAGCTTGCCCCTCCCTGTACCTGCTTGGAATCCCCCCAGTCTCTCAAAACCCACTCTGGGCTTAGGAGGCCATGACCCCTGTAGTATTGTCTGGGAGAGAAAGCTGTTTTTGCATATGAAGCACCCACTCAGGAAAGATGGCAAATTGAGTCTCCCTATCAGGGAAGCTGTACTTTCCAGAGGGCAAAAGGACACCTTCCTGGTGGCTTGTGGGTTTAGCCTGTACTTTCTGCAGGTGTTCTGGGTTGGGGGAGGGAGGAAGGGAGATCAGTGGAATCATGGGATTTATCCAGCCTGCACCGCGGAGCTTCCTGGCCATTGTCTGTGATCTTCTGTCTTTTGAGGTGTGCTTTGGCTCAGATTACAACGTATTTTTCCCAGCTTGTGCTAATGTTACTGGTTTGATATGACCTTCGAGGATAAGCTCCAAGCACTAGTTTGCTGGTGGAGAATAAAACAGGATTACGGATCTGATTTGTTTCAGCTGATGTCCCTTCGGAATATTCTGGAATTTAAAGAAGCCGCTTCCTCACCTGATTTAGTAACACACTCTAGTGTTTCAAAATTTAATTTATACAGTGGTTTTCATCTAAAGCTTGAATTTACAACAGGAGGGATTTACTTCTTTAGCCGTCTTGGGGGAATAGCAAACAGTTGCCTGTACAAATTTCTTTCCTTTCCATGGTAAGCCTATATTCAGTCACCTAGAGCCTAGATCCAAATCTTTGTTCAGAGTTGGTTGTTTTTTTTTTTTTTTAAAGGTTTTCTAACATTTTTATCTATTAGTGCCCCCTGCTGGACTTCTTCCAAGTTCTTCACTTTAAGCTGTAGAGCCCAGATGGAGCACTCAGTGTCACCAAGGCCTTCCCTTAAAATGGAGAGGTTGGGGATGTGGCCCTTGACCTCTGGCATTCCATAACTCCGGAAACACCCTATTCTGGTGGTCGCTTTTTCCATGACCTCAGGATACTGATAGATTTCATTCAGGGAGCAAGATGAGCTGCCCCTCTTCCAGGAGCTCTGTTTTCATTTGAATCAGGTTCATTTAAGAGAAGAATGGAAAGAGTTTATTGAGGCAACATCTCAATCTCTGGAGATTCTGCCCAACAATATTATTTCATGGGGATTGCGCGGAGGAGTGCTTGGCATCCATCTCACTTACTTAAGACTATCGAAAAACAAGTTCCAAGAATGAACGGGAGGAGACAGGACTAGTCCCCTCCTGGGAGCTGTAAAGGAGGAAGCACCCTGTGCACCCTGTGCACCCTGTGGCTGCCGCCACCATGGATTTATGTGCAGTCCCTCTTGTTCAGCGTCCACCTGTCTGACGTGGTCCCCGCCTGCCCCCAACAGAAGTGTGTGCCATCTGCCCTTCGTCCATCTTTGTAGAGTGGCCACACCGCAGTGCATGGTGACTATCTGTGCCTCTGTGTCCTTGTCTCCTAGCACAGTGCCTGGTACATGATAAGTGTGTGGTAAATGGAACGAAAATAGAATGTCCTTCTCTTCAGTTCCATCTGTCCTGGATCTATCTGAATTTCAAGTGTCCGTGCTGAAACCCTTGTCATCCAGCCACTCCTTCTCTTCCTGGCCCCAAGTAGTTTATGTTTCTGTAGCATTTAGTGTTTACTTCCAAGAGTTATGATGTTTGCTTTTAAAGGTAGTTGCTGGGGCGCCTGGGTGGCGCAGTCGGTTGAGCATCTGACTTCAGCCAGGTCACGATCTCGCGGTCCGTGAGTTCGAGCCCCGCATCAGGCTCTGGGCTGATGGCTCAGAGCCTGGAGCCTGTTTCCGATTCTGTGTCTCCCTCTCTCTCTGCCCCTCCCCCGTTCATGCTCTGTCTCTCTCTGTCCCAAAAATAAATAAAAAAACGTTGAAAAAAAATTTTTTTTAAAGGTAGTTGCTTACATCGACTCTTACGTTCCAGATTCTAAACACCTTGAGAGCAGGATCCTTAACCCAATTGATGTCTTCATTGTCCGTGACCCACAAAACGATGCCTTAACACATAATAATAATAGCAGTTATATACAGCATTTAATGTGCGCCAGGCACTCACTGTTCCCCATACTTCACATATGTTCATTCTTTAATCTTCACAACAGCTTAATGAGATAAGAACTATCATCAACATCTATCTCCATTTTGTAGGTAAGGAGAATGACATTAAGTAATTTGCTCAGCGTCCTATAACTAGGAAGCGAGGAGCTTGGATTCCGTCCCCGACAGCATATTCCAGAGTCTAGACCTTCATCGCTGCCTTGATGCCGCCTCTTGTTGGCACATGTGCACATGGAGGCCATTTACGTCAATACTTGTCTAGCGCATGTAGGTTATTTCTTGGTTATTTAGAACCAACAAACAGGTTGAAGGTGATCCATTGTCGCTTTCATCTCCACCGTCTGAACTGCTTCCTGAGCCACGGCAAGGCCAAGAGGGGGCACCAGAATGTTGGTTCTAGTTTGAATTTCAGAAGCGTTGGATGGATGAAGTTCTGACTTCAAAGGCAACAGTGCCATCTAGTGAGACAGCTTGCTAATAACAGCTCCGAATCCTTTTTCTGACACCCCGGTACATCATCCTTTCATTCTGGGAGCCCCAATATTAGCTTAACTTTAAGTTTTGATTGCCAGAGAGCGGGTAGGGTGAGAAGGAAGACTAGCTTAAATGGAGCCAAGCACAGTCTCTTCCTTGAAGAGGCTGCGATGCTGATCGTGGTCCTTTGGGTTTGTTGAGCCCCATTGGCTGTTAGTGCCCAACACTGGGCTCCAGACCCCGTCCCTTCTGCTTCTCCTCACGTGTGCTGCCAGTGGTATAGGCTGGTATTCCTCTCTTAATCCTTGCCTTTGGAGCTGTCTGCTCTGTTGCGACCATCTGTGAGTTGCCTGCTGGAGTACAGACCACATTCCAGGTTACGTAGGAGACGGTACGTGATGCATTATAGCAAGTTAGTCCCAACGTAAGAAATCCCACGGTCAACAACATTATAGCACAGTTTTGCAATGAGGAGTTTTTAACAGGCAAGTCTCTGAGACCTTGGGAAGGGGGTGTGATGAGTAGCCACTCCACAGTGAACAAGTAAGTGGCAAAAAAGTGCTAGGTGTAGAGTAAATGAGAGAGGAAGGGCTGGTATACACACTTCAGTTCTGCCAGGCAAGTGGAGGCTCTGTGTTTGGTGCTGTTTTGATTTCTAGGGGGTGTATGTGTTTGAAAACTTGATATCAATTGCTTCTAAGTTCATTTACTTCTTGTTGAAAGAATGGAATATAAGAGCATGGTTATAACTTCCCTCACACACACACATGAAATTATGTGCTGCTTTGGTTGGGAGTGAACGAGCCCTTACCCTACAAGACTGTTCAGAGGCTCAGCGTCCTGGGGATCTAGTGGAAGGAATATGCTCTGTGGAGATCAATGAATTTTTCAGTGGTGAGCAATCCATCAGAACAAGAAAACAATTTTGGTTATACTGGAGCCTGAGTTATAGCGACATTTATGGTAATAGGAATTTACCATTAATAAAATCTATGCGAAGCACAGGGTTTGCTAATTTTTTTGGTTAGGGGACAGATAAAATATTTTAGGTTTTGTGGGCCTAATGAGCTCACTGCATAACTTACAGCGGTGCCTTAACTATTCAGTTTGCCATTGTAGGTAAACAGCAGCCATAGATAATATGTAAATGAATAGGTATGGCTGTGTGCCAATAAAACTTTATTAATGATTATGAAATTTGAATTTCATATAATCATCATGTGTCATGAAATAGTATTCTTGTTTTGAGTCCCCCCCCCCAATCATTTTTTTTTTTAACACCTGTTCTCAAGGGACCGTAAAAGAAAAAAACAACAGGCAACTTCAGATTTGGCCTGGGGGGGAGGTGGGGGGGGGGGCTGTAGTTTCTGGACTGCTGATCAGATGTTTGGATTAGTTAAAAAAAAAAAATTATTTGTTCATATGTTCAGTTAGTGTCATAAGACGTCTGAACAGCTTTTCTCTCTCAAGTAAAATGAAAGGTGGCTGAATTCTATCTACTATAACCTCAGCGTAAGCACTTTAAAGAGCTCTGTGAACTTGAATCTCATCTTGGGCTGGGGTGGAGGGACTCTGCCCTCTAATCCCTCCTTGGCCTTCCCAGGAGGAAGAGAAGCAGGCCTGGTGACCCCTGCCCCCATCAGGTCTTTCTCCCTACTGGAACTCTCCTTCTCCCCCTCCTCCCTCCCCACCCCCCCACCCCCACCCCCAGCCCCACCCCCGCCCCCCGCCCCTGCATCTTGAGAGTCTCCAGTGAGGTTGAAGAAACGTGGGATTGTTACCCTGGCATATGGATTAAGAAGCCCACGTATAAAAAGTACTGGAGGGATTTGCTCACTGAGATTAGGTCCCCAAGGAAGAATAAGGCAACAGGTCGAGATTTTCCACTTCTGCCTCAAATGAGCTGGCTGGAGTTTGCATCACATTTGTATCCTTTCTCCTATCTATTGCCTGTCAGTACACTCTCTGTGTACAGAGTTACATGGGGGAACTTGTGTCTTTAAAATTTTGTAACCCCGTTTCTTTGTCAAGCTGTGGAGTTGAGCTGACCTCCCCCAGGGTTGAGAAAGAAGTTAACGGCTCACATCCTGTGTCTTTCTGCAGCAGCCAGCAGAGTAGCCAGCAGAGCAGCCACGACGATGATTCCAGCAGGTTCCTGAGTCCTCGAGCGCGGGAAGAAAGGTAAGGCCAAGAGTGGGGGGAGCGGTGGGCTGAAATGATTGCGCATGATCGTCCTTCTGGTGCCTGGAGAACCGTGGGCAAAGGCAGGGTGGGAGGAGGCTTCCAGACGTCTGTGCTCAGACTGGCCAGGAAGACAGGACATTCGCCCGGGAAGTGAGAGGGTGTAGCACCAAGGGACTGGCTCTAAAGGCTTTTGGTGTTCGGCAAGGAGCAAAGCCAGTAGGTGGCCAATCAGAGATCCCGGGAGGACCTCAGCGTGGACTTGGCTTGAGGCACATCTTAGCGGCTGGGTTGCCGGGTGGATGTGCCTGAAGAAGAGCCGCGTGGCCTGGCGTGCCGTGTGTGGCATCAGGTGGTGGCAGAGCACCGGGGTAAGGGTGGACTGTGATGTCAGAGGTGAATGAGGGTGGATAGATAGGCAGGGGGCAGGGAGGAGGGAGAGGCTCTTGGGGTCTGACTCGTTAAACCCTGAGGATGGGAGCACCAGCCGGCGTCTACGTCGTCCCGTAGTGCCCGTGCGCGGCAGACAGGGGTCCGCTGTAGCGGGTGAAACTGTGCCAGGGCACGTTGACCGCACTGATGCTGACGAGAGGGGGGTTTCGGTTGGCATGCCGCGGGGCTCTGCTTTTGGTCCAGCTCTGGTTTTTGTCAACAAACTGAATGAGAAAGGAGAAGGTACTTCTATGTCATTTATCAGACTTCTGGCAGACAGTCAGCTGAGAGGGAATAGAGAGAGAAGACCAAGGATGACAGGCTCAGGCTTTAGTATTTCAGATGGAACCGTGGGCGCCAATGACAAGATTTTTTTTGAAGGAAATGTGCCATTATATTTATATTATGTGCTTATAAATCTATAGTAGAATAGTTTTTTTTTTTTAAGTTTATTTATTTTGAGAGAGAGAGAGAGAGAGAGAGAGAGAGAGAGAGAGCAAGCAGGGAAGGGGCAGAGAGCGAGGTATCCCAAGCAGGCTCTGTACTGTCACTGAGCCCTCAAGAACCATGAAATCATGGTCTGAGCTGAAGTCAAGAGTCGGGCGTTTAACCGATTGAGCCGCCCAGGCGCCCCTAGAGTAGTTGCTTACCTATAGGATTGCCACAGGGAGCCTACCTTGACAGGATTTCATGTGAAAAGGAATCTGTGGGTTTTATTTACCAGCAAAATTACGAACCCATAGGATGACACAGGGACCAGATGATCTTTTAAAGTCCGAATTCATTCATGGAAGTGTGGAGCATGGATTAGAAAGAGAAAAAGATCTTCCTGGTCTGTACTGGTTTGACCATATGTGGTGTATCGTGTCTAGTTCTTTGGAAATACATGTATTGATAAATTAAGAATCTGGAAGGAAGGATCGCGATGATAACGTAGTATGATAAGGACCAGTTGAAGGAAAATGGCTTAGCCTGGAAAAGAGAAGGGTTTCAGTGACTCTAACAACTGCTCTTTAAATACCTGGAAGCCTAAGAAATAGAGCTAGAGCGGGAGAGGTCATAGGGAGAAGCATTTCAGCTCTGGGTAAGGAAGAATTCTGTGGTTACAGCTGGACTGTAATGGTATAGGCCTTGCAGAGATGCGTACTATCCCCTCAATAGAAGTGTTCAAGCTACAGCCGTAGTGGATCAAAAGGGGACTGTCTCCTGGGGAGAGGGTAGGGCCTTGCTAATCCTTTCATAGATCTCTTTGCATTATAAAGTTGTATGGGTTCTGCCCTAGTCCTCAAGTATCAGTTTAGCTCATCAATTCAAACTGAGGGGATAGGAGGCAGGGGGCCCCCAGGGGTAAAGACTAATCAATCTTGTTAAGATGCTTCCTCAGTTGCCATCTGATGGCAGTTCCCTCTGTCTCTCCAGTGGCCCATACACTCTCTTGTCAGTGCCTTCTGGGTTTCATCAACCATACTCTCAAAATTAACAAAAAATTAAAAAATTTGAAAAAAAGGGGGCTGTGGGGGCACCTGGGTGGCTCAGTCGGTTAGGCGACCGACTTGGGCTCAGGTCATGATCTCGCGGTTTGTGAGTTCGAGCCCCATCTCGGGCTCTGTGCTGACAGCTCAGAGCCTGGAGCCTGCTTCAGATTCTGTCTCCCCCTCTCTCTTACCCCTTCCCTGCTCGCGCTCTGTGTCTCTCTGTCAATAATAAATAAATGTTAAAGAAAAAAAAAAATTGAGAAAAGGGGCCGTGGAGTCCCCCTGGCTCAACTCCCTTCCCTTTTGCTTGGACATTGCACATTTCCTGAAGTGTCCCGTCCCGTCCTGGGAGAGAGGAATAGGCCGTGAGTTGCAGGCTCTAAAACGTTTCTCCCGAGGCAAACTTCATCTCTTACTCCAGGACATGACTACCTGAGCATTAGAGAGAGCTCTGTCTTTCGTTTTCTCTTTGGGGTTGTACGTTGACATGAATCATATTCTAGCTCCTTCTCTACCCACTTCCTCAACCAAATGAAATGTTGCAAAGGTTCTCCAGTCTGAACCTCTGCCCAGAAAAGTCCTCGGATGTCTTCCCTGGGCCTTCCCATCCCTGGCCCCCTGAAAGGCCCCTAAACTCTTCAGCTCCCCTTGGGCAGTACAGGAAACAAAGCTCTGATCAGAAGTATGCCTCCCGTGGTGATCTCTGCGGACCCCCTCCTCCCAGAAGCTCAGGACTGGTATGTGTTCCACGATGGCCATTCTGAAGGAAGTCTTTTTCTTTTTTTCTCATCCAGTTGGTTCTCCTGGAGAGAACAAGTCCCCAGAGTGCTAATTAATCACCAGTCTCAGTTCAGAACAAACCCTTACTCCCTGCCCCTAATCCTTCCTATAATATGTTTTTACCCAATTAAGAGACTCTCTGGGGTGTTTTGGATGTTGGTCTGCAGTTATCCTGGCCTGGGGCAAGCGTGAGATCCAGACCCTGGGGAGATTTTCAGCTGTGGTGGGGATCCCACTTCCTGCTCCTCACTCTGGGCCCCATTGAATGGACAGTGCCCCCTGCTGGGTATGGCGGCATTTCCTACAGAGGCCAAGCCTTAGTGGAATGTCATTTACCCTTGAGAATTTCCATGGGAGGCCGCAGAGCAGGTATTATGGATCGAAAATGGTCAAGTCGGTGGGAAATATGGACCCTTTTCTGTGGCTGCTCCTAATTTTCCAAACCACGTGGTCAATTATCAGATGAAGGATAGTTTCATAGAGTTTCTTTCTTTCTTTCTTTCTTTCTTTCTTTCTTTCTTTCTTTCTTTCTTTTCTTTCTTTCTTTTTTTCTTTTACAGAATTATATTTCTTTTTTTTTTTTTAATTTAAGTTTTTTTTAATTTACATCCAAATTAGTTAGCATATAGTGCAACAGTGATTTCAGGAGTAGATTCCTTAATGCCCCTTCCTCATTTAGCCCCTCCCCCATCCCACAACCCCTCCAGTAACCCTCTGTTTGCCCTCTGTATTTAAGAGTCTCTTATGTTTTGTCTCCCTCCCCGTTTTTATATTATTTTTGTTTCCCTTCCCTTATGTTCATCTGTTTTATCTCTTAAAGTCCTCATATGAGTGAAGTCATATGATTTTTGTCTTTCTCTGACTAATTTCACTTAGCATAATACCCTCCACGTAGTTCCATCCACGTAGTTGCAAATGGCAAGATTTCATTCTTTTTGATTGCCGAGTAATACTTGGCATCTTCTTTATCCATTCATCCATCGATGGACATTTGGGCTCTTTCCATACTTTGCTTATTGTTGATAGTGCTGCTATAAACATGGGGGTGCATGTGTCCCTTCAAAACAACATACCTGTATCCCTTAGATAAATACCTAGTAATGCAATTGCTGGGTCGTAGGGTAGTTTTATTTTTAATTTTTTGAGGAACCTCCATACCGTTTTCCAGAGTGGCTGCACCAGCTTGCATTGCCACCAACAATGCAAAAGAGATCCTCTTTCTCCACATCCTCGCCAACATCTGTTGTTGCCTGAGTTTTTAATGTTAGCCATTCTGACAGGTGTGAGGTGGTATCTCATTGTGGTTTTGATTTGTATTTCCTTGATGATGAGTGATGTGGAGCATTTTTTCCTGTGTCGGTTGGCCATCTGGATGTCTTCTTTGGAGAAGTGTCTATTCATGTCTTTTGCCCATTTCTTCACTGGATTATTTGTTTTTGGGGTGTTCAGTTTGATAAGTTTTTTATAGATTTTGGATACTAACCCTTTATCTGATATGTCGTTTGCAAATATCTTCTCCCATTCTGTCGGTTGCCTTTTAGTTTTGCTGATTGTTTCCTTCGCTGTGCAGAAGCTTTTTATTTTGATGAGTTCCCAATAGTTCATTTTTGCTTTTGTTTCCCTTGTCTCCAGAGACGTGTTGAGTAAGAAGTTGCTGTGGGCAAGATCAAAGAGGTTTTTGCCTGCTTTCTCCTCGAGGATTCTGATGGCTTCCTGTCTTACATTTAGGTCTTTCATTCATTTTGAGTTTATTTTTGTGTATGGTGTAAGAAAGTGGTCCATCTGCATGTCTCTGTCCAGTTTTCCCAGCACCACTTGCTGAAGAGACTGTCTTGATTCCATTGGATATTCTCTCCTGCTTTGTCAAAGATTAGTTGGCCATACGTTTGTGGGTCCCTTTCTGGGTTCTCTATTCTGTTCCATTGATCTGAGTGTCTGTTCTTGTGCCAGTACCATGCTGTCTTGATGATTACAGCTTTGTAGTATAGCTTGAAGTCTGGGTGAGGTATACTTTCAACTGGTTAAATAAAACATCACTTTTCCTTTTTCTTGTATGAGGTTCAGAATAGATACAATATTTAGAGATAAACTAGCTGTCCTACTTAGCTTAACAAATGTCTACATGGCAGCAAAGGGGGAAATGCCTCGGTGTGCTGTCCAAGTCCTAGGGCTTCTGAGAATTTTTCTTCTCATTCACATCAGTGTTGATTCCTGAAGAAAAAAGCCTTTGGAACTGTGATAGGGGCAGGGGGTGGGTGGGTACAGGGAGGAAGTCATTTCCTGGGCAGGTGTGCATCAAGAAAAGTTGATTTG